TAGGACAGACAACAACCACTAGATCGTTGGCTCGATGGCCGGAAAAGAGCAAGGCATGGCCATAGCTCAAAAGCTAGTGCCTAAAACAAACAAAGGACGAAGGTGAGATCAGGGACTCACCCAAGTAGTTGTAGCTGAGGAGGCAGTCATGTAAGCCCATATCATCCCACCGTGTACAGACTGCTGGACGGTCTCGATGTCGAGCGCCTTCTAGTTGACAAACCAACTTCCACGTGTCCCTTGAGCTTACCAAGTTCCCTCAACCTGCAATGGCCTAGTCAGGTCTCTCTCGAATGGACACAACACAAAATTATAGCATAACAATATTCGAGGCATGCATGTACAGAAGTCTCAAGTGCATCGCATACATAGTCTACACAGAAATAATGAAAATTTTCAGTAAACAAACTAGACATAGTGCCGAATTGGGGATTAAGTGATTCTATAAACCACGAGGCAATCTAAAACACTTATTTTCCAGGGCTAAATCCACTCAAATGGTTACCATCATGCGTCCAGCAAGGCGACAAGATAATAAACAAAGACGAAATCATATAATTTTGCTCCATAGCTGAGAGGCAACATTTGGTTAGTTCGAGGGCTTAGTTTTCACATTTTGAATCCAACTAAACCCTTAGCTGCCCAAAATGCTTAACATTTCAAAACAATCAACGCAGCCAGCTAATAGGGACGAACATCAATGGCTTGATGGACCGCCGAAAGACCACCACCGTAGATCTGAACACTAAATCAATGGCTTGATGGCCAGACACCATGTCGGAGGAAGAGAGAGATAGGACATCAAGGGCTTACCTGAACCAAGAAGAGGCAGCCACCACTGCCGAGGTTGTAGAAGATTAGGAGACCTCAAAGAATAACCTAAAATTCATGAAAAAAAAAGGAATTGGATGAAACTTTACACTCTTAACACTTATGCACAACACGAGAGATTGCGTAAACGATTTACAAATCAACTTTACAATCGGTGGTTCTTGAAATGCAGAATGATAACAAAATTACAGGAAGTTATATTTCAAGGTTTCAGAATATGAAAAGGGGGACCAAACAGGAGCACTTGGCGGCATTTTTTTATATATAGAAGAAACAACCTGAGACACCGCGGAGTCTAAGACTCAAATATGCATCCGCACACCTTACCAATAGAGCAACGACTCTGTTCTCAAAGTCTCACAAAAAAGAAAAAGTGTTCATCTCAGTAGGCCAACCAAGCTAAGAAATACCTAAAATCCATCAAGGTTTATATCAGTAGGTCAATGAAGTTGGGGAATAGCTTCAGGCAACCAGTTTCTAGATACACAGCAAGAACTAAGTTAGGAAGATATGACTGGTTTATGCCCAACACAGATAGGGAATATATGATGATTTCACATGGCAGATTATTTCTATCTCACTTTTATCTCATAAAATGTCAAAAGGGTATTATTTGTTTCCCCCATACCTTCCTTACAAATAAGAAAATTTGACTGGTTCCTGGCCAGTTGATTCCAAATATGCAGGTCAAGAACAAATACCGCGAACAATTAATTGCAACTGGCAAAAAAGCATACATAGTCTACACAGAAATAATGAAGAAATTCAGTGGACAAACAAGAAATAGTGCCATATTGGGGATTAATAAATTCTATGAACCATGAGGCAATCTAAAACACTTAGTCCTCCAGGGCTAAATCCACTCAAATGGTGACCATCACCACAGCCCAACAAAACTACAGATTGCCATCGCGCGATGGCGAGCACAATGCTCACCATGACACGTCGTGGACACAAAGAGAAGAAGAGAAATGGTGGCGCTAGTTATCACAACAGACCGTCACCATAGCCCCAAATCCTAGAAATTTCCATGGCCAGCATAGAACCTACCACGGATTGATGGCCATGGACACACAGAGCGAAAGAGAAAGCACATGAGAGGGAGGGAGCGCCTTATCTTACCTACACCACCACTGCAGCTTTATCACAACAACGATCGCATCTGCAAGAGGAAAACACAAATGAAGAAAGAACAACTTTGGGAAACAAGTGAGCAAAGGTCCATGGCTTTAAAGAATGTAACCATGTGTTGAGGGTTGATAAGCAAGATGTAGGACGCATACAATGGGAGCCCAGATCAGGGACTCACCCAAGTAGTTGTAGCTGATGCATTCATGGAAGTTTTATCATCACACCGTGTACGGACTGCTGGACCGTCTCGATGCCGAGCGCCTTCTAGTTGGCAAACCAAATTCCACATGTCCCTTGAGCTTATCAAGTTCCCTCAACCTGTAACAGCCTAGTCAGATCTCTCTCGAATGTACAAAACACAAAATTATAGCATAACAATATTCGAGCTTATCAAAACTTGAAAGGTAGAGGTCAAGTCTCAAGTGCATCGCATACATAGTCTGCATGGAAATAATGAAAAAATCCGGTAGACAAACCAGAAATAGTGCTGGATTGTGTATTAATTGATTCTATAAACCACAAGTCAAACTAAAAAACTTATTCTCCGGGGCTAAATCCACGCAAAGGGCGGCCATCACCATAGCCCAAAAGACTAGAGCTTTCCATGGCACGATGGCGAGCACGGAGCTCACCACGACACGATGGATGTGGACACAAAGAGCAGAAAAGAAATAGTGGCACTAGTTATCACAACATACCATCACCATAGCCTCAAACCCTAGAAATTTGCATGGCCAGTATAGAACCTACCATGGCTCGATGGCCATGGAGACACAGAACAGAAGAGGAAGCATAGGAGAGGAAGGGAGTGCCTTATCTTACCTACGCCACCTCTGCAGCATTGGGGAGAACACAAATGAAGAAGAACAACTTTGGGGAAACAAGTGAGCAAAGTTCCATGGCTGTAAAGAATGTAATCATGTGTTCAGGGTAGATAAGCACTATGCACGACGCATGCATTTGAAGCTACTCCACGACACATATGATTTAAGCAAATCATGATAAATATTGACCAAACCAAATGAAAAAAAATTCTCGAATGTATGTTCTGGAACCCATTCAGCAATGCAACATCATCCCTCACCATCTAAGAACGGAATACTACACATTGCACATCACCAAGACAACACTACACAAGCCCATGCCTTGGTGAAAAAAGGCCTATAAAATCAAACGTCACCTAGTAGACCGTACCAACTTGAAACCAAGCTTCTTCCATGATGCTCTGTTAAAATAAGCTCTGTGGCAAGTCACAATCAGTCAAGCCATCGTATTCCTATATTCACTGCACGCAGCACCAGCACATGGGAATAGGTCAAGCATGCCACACTTCTTATCAGTACCACAAAGCACATCACTAACATTTGGTAAGAAATCATGTAGAGAATATCACTCTTTTCTTGTTCAATCCTATGAAAGAAGACAAAGAATCACCTACCAATACTACCAAGAAGCGTATTCATTGAATCACAATTGAAACGGAAGCATAACCATGATGAATAGTCACTATATCATGCCAGAGTACCGCATTATCTAATCACATGCATTTTGATCTCAGCACAAAAACAATCGACAACTCAAACCATTCTCTGATTTTAAGCACTTCACAACAATAACCCTACCTAGTTACAAAAGAATGTAAAAACTAGTGCATATATTCCCATTTCTTCCAGCATGGAGACAAGATAACAAAGACCAAATCATATAATTCTGCTCGATAAAGGGAACATACCGGTGACAAAGGGAACAAAGTATGTTGTTATGCGGTTTGACCGATAAAGATCTTCGTAGAATATGTAGGAGCCAATATGGGCATCCAGGTTCCGCTATTGGTTATTGACCAAGAATAGTTCTAGGTCATGTCTACATAGTTCTCGAACCCGTAGGGTCCGCACGCTTAAGGTTTCGATGACAGTTATATTATGAGTTTATGAGTTTTGATGTACCGAAGGAGTTCGGAGTCCCGGATGAGATCGGGGACATGACGAGGAGTCTCGAAATGGTCGAGACATAAAGATCGATATATTGGACGACTATATTCGGAGTTCGGAAAGGTTCCGAGTGATTCGGGTATTTTTCGGAGTACCGGAGAGTTACGGGAATTCGC